TATTGTGTATCAACCCCAGTAGACTTCTGGGTGGCAGCAGATAATCAAACACATTGATTTGTCTTCAGCAAATGTATGAATGAATATTCACAATCAGTGGCATAAGACAATAAAAACCCTCACATCAGCTGAGGTCACTAACAAGATGTGAACACATTTTCAGTTTTCAAAACTTTGGGTGTTTCAGAAAAACCCATAAGGGATTGTGGAAATTATGTCTTGTTATCCAGGTATCATGCTTTTCCTTCTTAAAATCCCCAGGACCATTTGTCCATTTAGGAGACCAAATGTTTGGCTCAGTGCCTAACACATAGAAGATACCTAGAAAATATTCCCTGAATGAATGATTGAGACTAACTACAATTTATAGAAAATTGTTGCAACCAAGCCTTTGGAGAAAACAGCCTCTAGTCTTATCCCATTTCCTTTAAGTGGATGGAAACCTTGTTGCCTCTACTTGGCTCCCTCACAAGGAGCAGAGGAGAGGGATGCTCATGAATTCTTTGTTTATTTTTTTCCTCTTCCTTCAGGCCTTATATCTAGTTTTAGAAGTGGGTGGGTGAAGAGATTCTAGACATAAAAGGAGCCAAATTTAAAATTCCCCTTTCTTAGCTTCCCTATGCTGAAAATACCAACTAGATGTAGTAACCAACTCCATGAATATTCTGATTGTTTTTTTCACGGAATGCTTGGTTTGTCAGAAATTGGGGTTTCACAAGCTTGGCTATACAAAGACTTGGGTTCAGATTCTAGCTCTACTAAACCCTTAGCATATTACATAAACTCCTTCAGTCTCACTTTCTCATTTAGGAAATGTACATTGAAATAACACAGTAACCCCACGGCAGTGCTGTGGGGATTAAAGGAGATCATCCATGGAAAGCATTTGACATAAAACTTTGGTTTTGTTGTTGCTAACAGCAATAGTAATAGTGATAATATCAATCCTCCTCATCATTGTGGTAACTCAGTAGAAGCACAGAGCAGGGCAGATTTGATCTCCCCAATCTCGCTACCCTCACACTTTGCTATGGATTGTGTTAGTCAGGATGGGCTAAGGTGTGCTCTGATAACAAACACCCCCTAATCTTTGTATCTTAATGGTACAAAAGTTTATTTCTGGATCACACAGATTTCTCTGTGGACCCAAATGATTCTTCAGAGCTGTTGTCTGCTGAGTTTCCATGATCCAAGTTGTGCTGTGATTCATACCTTGACCCTCGGGATCATCCACCCTGGAACTGTAGTCCTCCGGGTACCCTTTACTGTATAAAGCAAGTTAAATGGTTCTGCCTTACTCCAAAGCAATGGGGGAAGAACAGTCCTGTCAGATGCCTGGAAGTAAAGAAGATCTAGAAATACTGGCAAGAGGCACTAGTGATGACCGTGCAGACATTTAGCCTTTTCTCACTCTGTCGTAGATGGTTATCACAAACACAGTGGTTATTGCTTTGGCCTGAGCATCCTTTCCAACCAGGCAGCTGTCCTGAAGTTACTGCTGCAGGTGATCTTTAGAAATCATTGAGCTAACTCTGCCCTAAGTGAGGTAGAGGAGCAATTTCTAGGCATTGGGAGTGAGTCACGCCTGCTGGATTGAAGCCCCTCCCCCAAGTGTTTTCCCCAGCACCCTGCACCCCAGTGATACTGGATGGGATGTTGAAATCATGGGTTCCTCACGTTAGGAGGCACTCTTGGGAAGCCTGCTCATTTTCCAAGAGTGGAAACTGAGACCCAGGCAGCATGAGTCTGTTTTGTTTCCTGTTTTCCGGGGCTTTCCCAGGGTCCCCAAAATTCATGATTAGCCCATCGCTTAACCCACATCTGGACAGAGGCCTCCGGGCTCTGCCTGGTGGTTGTCTACTGTCCGCCACTTCCATCACCCATACTTATCCTCCTTTAGAAGCGGAGACGTCCCATATACAATGATTGGCTTGTCTTGCCTTTTGTTCTATTTCTGGTCCCTTCTAAGGCTGAGGCTGGACCTGTGCATTCCCTGGTTGCTCAGAGCGACCCATGGAGGAGGATCTTCAGCACCTTTTCTTTCTTATCATTTGTTTTTTTCTTTCCAGTTGGAGGGACAGGAAATGGGACAGTTTAGCAGTTGCTACCACAGGGGCTAAACTCTCACTGTTTTAGAAGAATGAGAAATTCCATCCCATTCCCCAGTACACCCCACCCCCACCCCCATATACCACTCAGAAGTTTCTATTGATATTTTAATGAGACTGCATATAGAAGCTCTTTGTCCAGATGGTAAAATATGGTCCCTGCCTGTACTTGTTCAGAATCCCTCTGTGCTATAAAAGGGGGCTCAGACAACCCTGGATGGCTCTGAGACTGAGGCTTGCCTAGAAATTCTGGGCTACAGCTGGCCTTTCAGTCCCTCCAGACTATGTTCATTGTTTCTAACTTCACAGTGTGAAGCTGAAGCCTCCAGAGCCTGGGGTTTCAAAGTACAGGTGGAGGAAGAATCACCTGTGCCATGTGCTAACAGCAGATTTCTGGGCCAACCACCAGAGATTGACAGTTTGGGCAATATGTGAGCTGGGAGTGAGCAGTCTGAGCCCAGGCCCAGAAATCTGCATTTTTACAAGCATCCCAGGGTAACATAGAGCAGGGCTCTTGTTGATGCCAGTGCACCAAGGTGGCAGAACTACAGAGGAGGTGTCCCATCTTCAGCCAGAGCAACAACACTTGGAACTATTTTATAAATAAGGTTTAAACCTAAGGCTTGTTCTGCTGATAGAAACAAATGACATGGAATAACATTTTTGCAATTCACTATTCTAGAACAGAGTAAGCAGAAGAAAGAACCATCCAGCAGTGGCTTTCTTAAGACCATACTTTTCTTGAAGTGGCTTCATCTTTATACAGAATGAGTTTCTTACCCTTTGATGAAATGTATAATTATCCTGTTTTCCACACCCTAAAGACAACCAAACAGCACCAATGGTGCTCCTCAAATCCCTGGCCCCTGGGTCTTAGGCACCTCCGTGCCTGTTTTCTACCAAGTGTCTTAGACGGAGAGGGAATGGATATCTACTTCTCCACTTTACAGCTTCCAAGGCCTAGTTTGGGCCATGCTTTGGGAGAGAAACGGCTTCTCTCTTGGACCCTAACAGATTGCAGTTCGAGGTTAGGGAACTTGAATTCCATTTTGCCACCAAAGGGTGGCCCTTACCTGGTCCTGTTCAATACAACAGATGTGACTCTAATCTTGCCTGCTTCAGCTTATGACGTCTACACGTGATTGTGATTTTCTTCCCCAAAGTGGGACGAATCAGAGTATACGTGGGCCCTTAGACTTGGATCTGAAGGGACAAAGGCGACTGTCTTTGTGCCCCAGTACTAATAGCAGTGCCAACCGAGGCTGCTGATCACAGGCAAAGAACTGAAGGCGCCAGGGTAGATCTGTTAAACTGTGTGAAAAGGGTATTTTTTCCTGTGAAATCTCAATACCTCCCTGGGGACATTGCTCTTCAGGATTTTTAGCTACTCTTCTCTGATATTTACACGTCGGGAATTTTACTCTTGAGAAATCACTGTGGCAACAGAACCATTTGCCTCCACGAAGACGATGTCAAAGTCTTAAAATCTGGGACATTTTAAGGCAGGATTCCAACCTCATTACTGCCAGGAATAAGATTCATCCAAGGTGGAAGTGTCCTCTCTTAGAACTCAAATCATCTCAGAATGGCTTTTCTTTCCCCTTTGTTTTTGAAGCTAAGCAATTACTTTTTTTTTTTCCTTAAGGAAAAAAATGTGCTAATGCACAAAACTCTCTTTTCCCCCTTTCATTTATTTGAAATTGAACTTAACAAAGTCAGTTCCAAGCAAGCACTATATATGAGTAATGCTTTTTGTCCATAAAAGAGCATTGACTCAAATGGTATGAGAGTGCTGATCCTCTGTCTGCTTTGTGTGAGCGTCCGTAATGACAAAGTGCTCATGTCAGAGTGTATAATGAAACTATAAATTGTTTTCATGAATGCTCTGAATTTGGTCTTTTACGGGGCAAATTCAAAAGGTATTTAGTGCCACATCTCACATATGTGAATAACACCAGACGGTGCAATAGACCCAATAAAGGGACAGAATCCCAGTCGGGCTCACGCTGGCCCGGGTGGTGGGTAGTTGTCAGGTGAGGGTCTGTCACAGTTGGGGGAAGAGGGGCGATGGAGGGGCGAAGATATCTTGCAACTCTGAAGAAGAGTTCCAGCAAGATGGTACTTGACTTTGTGGGGGTAATTCAGTGTGACTAGAATACTTCACTCATAAAATTGGTCTCTGGGTGGTGGGTATCTGCACTTGAATCCTAGAAAAAAGTGTGCACCTCTGCCCGATTTTAGTGAACAAAAACTCTCAAGTGAGAAAATGTCTGCTGGGTTGCATGGGCAGGTGCAATCTATTGTAGTAATGTATAGTTTGATCAAATTATTTTTTATTACATTTTTGGTACTTTTTTAAATTATAGAAACCGTATAGGTATATTCTAGAACATTTGGCAAACATAAAAAAGTATAAAGAATAAAGAAAACATGCAAATAACTTTGCTACCAAGAGATAATTGTTAGTAATGTACAGAATTTTTATTTAATTTGTGTTATGTTATTTTGTAAAATTTTGATAGAATTTCACACAGTCTTATCAGGATATATAAATACCGTTTGAAACAAAATGTGGCATCCTGTTATCTATTTAACCATGGAATTGTTTAAAAGGATTGTGCTCTTTAACTTAGCAATTATTGTCCTGTCTCAGCTGGCCAAACTTCATGAATGGCCACGGTTTTGGTTCTGTGACAAGGGCACTGTGTCAGGTACTTTAGCAGCCTTTGGGCTCACGTGGCATTGCATGACAAATGTCTCTGGGTATATGATCTCTGGAGACAAAAAGCAACGAAGCCAAATCACCCCTGCAGGGTGCGTGAGCTCCACCGTGGGTGAAAGGAGGGAGGCCTGGTGGCAGTTCTGAGCCGTGTGGATGTGTTTGCTCTGCAGTACCTGGTGTGTAAAAGGAAGCTGGAGAGTAAGAAGGAAGCCCTGCTGATCCTTTCCAAGGAGCTAGACACGTGCCAGCAGGAACGGGACCAGTACAAACTCATGGCCAATCAGCTTCGAGAGCGTCACCAGTCCCTGAAGAAGAAGTACCGCGAGCTCATCGTACGTATGACGTTACCGTGACGTCCCTGTTCCCGTATGGAGGTAGAAAGAGGGCCTTTAAACACGCGGTATCTTCCAAATAGCGCTGACTCCGGACAGTTACCAACCGGAAAGACATGAAAGTCTTTCAAGTTATCAAGACATGAAAGTCATCAACCCTGCTTCCTTCACACCCAGTACGATTTGCTGGTTGATAAGTATATCCTTCCGGATACTTGCTCTGGCACCCGTGAATGTACACACATATCTGAATGTGTCTGCGTGTGCCTTATTTACTTATTAATTAATTGTATGAAGGGTTTATTTTTCTGGAGGACTCATGTTATAAATCTGTGCTAATACAGAAGCTACTGACTAGCTGCATGTGGTTATTTAGGTTTCATTTTGAATTAATTAGAACTAAATAAAATTGAACACTCAGACTTGTCATATTTCATGTGCTCAATTGCTATAGTTGGCTGGTGGCTACCGTATGGGATTGTGTTGATATAGAACATTTCCATGGTGGCTGCTATATTGGACAGTTAGCTGTGGGACATGTCCCTCATTGCAGAGAGTCCTATTGGGCAGCTTTATATAAATGTTACTCTAAAACTTGCTCTTTTCGCTCAGCACTTTATTTTGGACATCTCTCTAGGCCATATATACAGATTTAACTCATTAAAAAATATTTGCATAGTAGTATTTCCATAATTTTTAAACCTTTCCCTCTCCTGGGCAATTAGATTTTCTCTAGTTTTCATATGGCACAATTTTTAAGGATGCAAATTAAAATGAATTGGAGGATACCAACTGCATAGTGCTATTTTGCATTCTCACTTCATTTTTTCTCACTTATGCCATCTCTTTTTTAAGTGCTGACACTATTGCTTACATTTAACCAGCTTTGCTGGGGTCATTGAATTGTCCTCAACAGAAATAAAATAGAAAGATTCCTAAGGTTAAAGTAATGTTGACTTACATGAGGACTGCATCAGACATAGGAGTACTGTTTCCTGAGCATTTATCACTTACCTGAGATATTTATGTATTCCCAGATGGCACATGAGGGAGAGAAATTAAATCCTTTAAAGACAAAAATCTGATAGGGCTAGAAGTTCTCACTTAGTTTTCTTGTATTTTGGGCATATCCTGTCCCCAAATTGTTCTGCCTATAGAGAAAATTCAAGTGTGTGTGTATATGCACCTGCATATGTGTGTCCGTTACTATTACCTTGGATCTAATTATTTAAAAAAGGAACTCAAACCAAATGAAATACTATTTCAGTTTAGTCTGCTCAAAAGTAATTTTGATAAATCTAAGTAATTAATTAATTTGGCTCACATAGGTTTAGAAAATATATCAGTTCAGTTCAGTCGCTCAGTCGTGTCTGACTCTGCGACCCCATGTACTGCAGTACACCAGGCTTCCCAGTCCATCATCAACTCCCAGAGCTTGCTCAAACTCATATCCATAAAGTCAGTGATGCCATCAACCATCTTATAGAAAACACATAGATTGGTCCTAATTGAAAGTTATTCTTTAGAGGTTTTCCCAAAATAACTCTGGTTCAGTTTACAGTTATCAGTTTTTAAAGTACATTTTAGTTTAGTTCAGAACATTGCTGGTTGCAGGGGGCAGGAGTGGGGAGGGTCTGAGTTTAGTTCATAGTTCAGTGCAGTTCCTTGAATCTACATATATCTGATTTTTTAAAAAATAAAATGTAACATTGGTTTCTTTATAGGATGGAGATCCATCACTTCCCCCTGAAAAGAGGAAACAGGTAAGACTTCCTCCTGATCTTTGGAAACTCTCAGGATGTTTGTATTGATGTCTTACAGCAACTGGAGGATCAGGGAATCCCAAAAGAAATCTTTTAATTTCCCAGAGGTGTTTGTATTACTGGGGGAAGTATGGTTGAGAAACACTGACTGCAAAGAGGAGCTAAGGGTTGGATGAAGGAGACACAGTGAAGTCTCACAGGATAGAAGAGGGCACACAAGTTGACTGTGTTCCCTTTCTTGTTGGGAACCCTGTTGAAAAACCACGAGTTGAGGGCGCATTGCTAGCGGGCTTTAGCTCACGTTCCATGGATGAATGTCATTCTGCCAGTTCAGACTTTTAAAGACATCTTACCAGCAAAACTTATAAGCCATTTATGTTCTCTCCTAAATGCTAACCAGCATTATTTCTTGATGAATCCATTTCCCCCAGATTTTAGGTGCCCACTTTTATCAATGAACAAATCCTTATGTTGTGTGTGTGTATGTGTGTGTTTCTGGACTTTCTGTTTGTTCCATTTAGCTTCATGTCCCATCCTATTTGTTCCACATTAAAAAGAATTCATTTGAATCTGTTTTTGTTTATACTTTCAATACCTGTTTGGGCTATTATCCTTAGCTTTACTCTTTCTTTTCAGATTTCTTTTTTTTTTTTAAATATAACTGACAAATAGTTTATCAAGTCCTCCTTATTCCCACCCCACCCAAACCCATTCCTGTTGGTATTTTGATAGGAGTTTTCTTAAATTTATAGATTGATGTAGGGACAGTTAACACTTTTATAGCATTATGTCCAGGAATATCATACATCAAATTTTTAAAATCCAGTTGCATGCACACATATATATATTGCTTTTTTCAGAGATATCTTGTTAGCTGTTTCCTTAACTTCACAGTTTTCTATACTGACACACCCTGACTGGTAGCCTTTCATGGGCTTGAAGGTAGCCTGGATGATGGTGATGTTAATGCTATGTGTTCCATGTTATGATAAACCCCCTGCACCAGAGCAGAGCTTCAAAACTGGTGGATGAAGATAAGGACTCAGGAATTGTTTGCTGTCTTCAGAGTTGTAATGGCTCAGCCAACATCCTGTTTTTGTTCACTGATCATGTACCTAAGCAGCGTATAAACACCTAAGATTCATGACTGAGTAAACTGTAGACATACACACACAACATTTGCCCTGAAATAACAATTCAGTCCTATGGTTACCCTTTCAGGTGTTCAGTTCTGGTCACTTCCATATTCCTTTCCTATTTTATTTGATTATTTTGTAATGCTCCAGCTTTGAGCTAATATCAGGTTCTTCTATGGAGCTAATTGATAGTTTTTTCCTCAAAAAATGATGTGGAAATTTACCATAAATGTTTTAAAATTGGGATCCTTCGTGTAGAATTGCTTATGTTTTTGTTTTTGTGTTTTTGGTGTCTATGAGCCGTCATCTTTGCTGCAATTTTAGAGTTTGTTAGTATTCATGAAGGAGTTTTACAGTGTAAGTGAATTCACGTTCTGTGACTTTATAATAAAAAATTTACATTGACTGAAGAGAATCTGATGAATTCCAGTAAGTCTGTCAAACTGCATTCTTACAGCTCTGGGGAAAAAAAAAACCAAAAAAACAGGTTCAATGTCCTAAGTTCTGGCTTTGTAGCTTTTAATATGGCATTAGTTTCTGTCCCTTTAGGATTTAGTGTGGTGGTGTGAGCTTGGGCTCTGCACCCTTCCTGCCTGTGATGGATGATGTAGGATGGACTGGGGTACTAGTGACAGACATTCTACACTGCTTAAACAGTAAAAGAGTTGATACCCTTGCATAAACCCCAAGTTGAGAGGTAGTTCAGGTTTCAGATGCTGTACTTTCATGTACTCATTCTCTCTTCTCTACCATACTTATCAAAGAAAAATACAGGAAATCAAATCTTGGACTTCAGATGGACCATGAATACCTTTTTAGTATAAGAGTATGGGGCTTTCCTGGTGGCTCAGACAGCAAAGAATGCGCCTGCAATGAAGGAGACCTGGGTTCGATCCCTGGGTTGGGAAGATCCCCTGGGGAAGGAAATGGCTACCCACTCCAGTATTCTTACCTGGATAATTCCATGGACAGAGGAGCCTGATGAACATGTGCATGGGGTTGCAAAGAGTCAGACACGACCGAGCAACTAACACTTTCAATTTCATGTATCATGCAATAATATTTACTTAACTAAAACAATATTGACTGTTAATCTGAAGTTCACATTGAGCTGGGAATCGTATATTTTATCTGACCATTCTATTACTGTGCTGATTTTAACATCAGTTTCTTCTTGAGTTTAGCATCAGCTTTCTCCTGAGGCCAGTTCCTGTAAGCAGGAAAGACTGAAAACCCAGCTCTGGAATATAAGTCCAGCCTCACTGGACCAATGTAGGACATGCTTTCCTTCCTGGCCTATTAATATTCACTGGGAGGATGCTATTCATTAATTGGCTTAGATTAATCATCTGGGATGGAAGGGCCAGGGGTGACACCCGCTAAGCTAATAATGTGCCTTGGGAAGTTTCCTTTGGGGGCCTGAGACTCCGTGTTTCCATCTACAAAATGGGAATAAACATGGTGCCCACTGCATAGTATGGCTGTGAGGAACAAATGAGATAACAAAAGTAGAGTCTTCAGCACAGTGCCTGGCACAGGGTGAGCATCAATAAATATTTATCATCCTCTCCCCCTCCTGATCATCCCTTTCTTTTTTAATCAATTGTATATTTGTGTGCCTTTGTCAGGACCCTTCTGGTTACGCTTGGCAACTTGAAATAGCTTAGGCCAAAGAAGAAGTTACTGGCTCATAGAACCTCAGAAGGGTTGAGTGAGCAGCCACCTTCGGAGGCAGAAATGCAGCCAGGCCTCAAGACCAGCTACCACCAGCACTCAGGGGTCCCCAGGCTTTTCCTCTGCCTTCAGCATTCTCTGGGTCAGCTATCATTTCTTTTTCTGGACCTGCATTCTCTGTAGAATAGGAAACATGATTACTGACCACATAAGACCTCACATCTTTGATCTCTAGGAAGAAGCTGCTCCCTGAGTCTCAGGAGAGAGCTCCCCTAGGCCAGGCTTAGTCCAGGGGTCCACTTCAGGGTTAGCTGGGCATGGCCAGGCATACTGTAGATGTAAGGCAGCTCCTGCTGTTGTCATGGTAACAGGATGCTGGGTAGACCGTGTCTTAACCATCTGCTCTATGTGCCTTCTTGAGACAGTCTTGGAATGACAAATCATAACAATGGAGCCAGTGTTTTTGAGTGCTCATCCTTGCCATATCAGACCCTATGCCCAACATTACACCTTGGAGGATCCCATTTAATTCCCACACCACCATGGGAAGTGGGGTTATTATTATTATTGCCACCAGACAAACAAAATTGATGCCAGTGGCAGTTAAGTAGATTACTGAAGGGAAATAATATAAGGAATTGGTGATGGAGAAAGAGTTTAAAGTCCCACAGTTCACTCACAGCTCATTCTTAGAGCCACCATGGTTCAGTAATAATTTATGGAACACCTTATGGGTATCCTGTGCGGATTAGACACTAGGAACACAGGAGTGAAAAAAGTCAGATCCAAATCCTTGAGCGTGTGAACCTGCCTTGGTTAGAGTGAACAGACCTTATGTTTGCTCGGGATCATTGCCATTTGCACCTCTTGTCCTGGCATAATTTTATTTTTACGCAAGACTTTTTTGATGTGGTTGTCCTACTCCTTTTGTGACCCCGTGGACTGTAGCCCGCCAGGTTCCTCTGTCCATGGGATTACCCAGGCAAGAATACTGGAATGGGACCATTTTGAAAGTCTTTATTGAGTTTGTTACAATATTGCTTCTGTTTTATATATATATATATATATTTTTTTTGACCAGGAGGCATGTGGGATCTTAGCTACCCAACCAGGGGTGGAACCCACACGCCCTGCTTTGGAAGGCAAACTCTTAACCACTGGACTGCCAGGAAAGTCTCTGTCCTGACATAATTTGTATTAGTGCTTCCTTCTCTCTCGAGTGTCTTGATTTGGACAATAAATAATATAGTTACCTTAAGTCTTTTAGAGATGCTGTGAGCAGACAACAAACAAAATGATTAAAATATATAGGATGTTAAATGGTAGTCGGTGCAATGGAGAGAAAAATATAGCCCAAAGCCAGGGAGGGAATTCTGGCTTAGTAATGGAAAAAAATGTCTTGATAAACAGTGGGGGGAAACAGTTCTAGTATTTGTGGGAAAATTCTTACCTGTTTAAAATATAGGTTTTCAAATTTTGTTTGCCTTTAGTTGATTTATAGAAGTATGCTCTTGGTTTTTGGGTGGGCAAGGGTGTTCAGATGCCCTCTTCATTAGCTCAGTGTGGGGAAGAAAATGCACTGTTAAATTTGCAGGTGCGTTACAGTGAAACTTTCCATTTAGCCAGAAGCAGACAGCTTTAGCATCTGTGTGCTGGTACCAGATGAGAGAGGTGCAATTACCTTCTTCACTTTTTCATCAGCAGGAACGAGGGGTAGAGGTGTGCACCCTGACCTAGTGTCTCCTGTCTTACATCACGTGTTTGTCCCAAAGGCAAAACAGTAGGTGAAGTATTTACCCCTCCAGCTGCAAAGCAAATGTACCTGTGTTAGCAGAAGGCATTGGAATGAGAACCAGCTGCCGGGGTGACAGATGGGACATGGAAGGGGGTTGAGAGATCCCCGCCTTGGAAAAGGAGAAGATGCAGCATTGAGCATCTCATTGGCCATAGGCCTTGAAACCGTGGCTTCAATTTCTTGACTTGAAGGAGGGATTCCTATGGACTCCTCCCCTCTTCAGCTCAGAAGGCGAGATTACTATCATCTCTGTTTTACAGACTGAATGTTTACATCCTCCCCCACCACTAAATTCATATGTTGAAACTCCACTCCTCAGTGTGGTGGTGTTAGGAGGTGGGGCCTCTGAGACGTAGTTAGGATAAGATGAGGTCATGGGGGTAGAGTCCTCATGA